ACTCCCTCAATCCTTAGCACTTCCTCCACGGTACTGTAAAGAGCCCACTGTGGCCCCGCAGGTGCTTCTTCCATCCTTCTGCGCTGTGCAGGGGGTTGATTGGAACCGCCGCTGTCGGACCCCGACCTCCACCGACGCTGCGCATTAGTGGCGGGGCTCTCCGCGGCAGCGTGAGTTTCTCCTTCGCTTCTTTCAGTCATTGTTTCTTGATTTTCTTACTTTGTTGTAGTAGTTGTTGTCTTGCGCTGCGGCTGAACACCCACCGCCAGCCAAAAAGAGAATGCAAGGGGAAGAGAAGCAAAAAGATAGGCACACAGACACACGACCCCACGCAGCCACATTCAGCAATAGAAAGAGAGAAGGAGAGGGGGCGCCCGAAGGTTGTGCCACGCATACACATCACACTTCAGCAGCCCGCGCAATGGGTGCAGTCAAGCAACAAACGCACACAGCATAAAGCAACCCCCGTGAAGTGAAGCCGAAGCGTGGGGGCGCGTCCACCGAGCAGTGGGGACGCGCAGCAACACGTGGGACGACCAGCACACACACACTCCATCTCTCTCTCTGTTCCCGCACAGCCCAATCCAGGGAGAGAGAGAGAGAGTCCGCCCACTGAAGCAAAGGGAACAAACAAACAAACAATAAAAAGGACAAAAACAGTTACGGTGCTGTGCCCATGCAGCCAAGCAGGACGGCAGCGGCTCGTCGGGTACAAAAGAAAACCGACGGAGCTGCATGAGTGGAGATGTGTATATATACGAGCACACACTGTGTGTGTGTGTGTGCCTCGTGAGGTGATGCGAGGGCGAGAGAGTCCGTGCAGGGGGACACGCAAATAGAGGAAGAAGGAAGAGATGTGTGTACAGACCTCTCACACTGCCACTCACGCGGCCACCACCGCAGCGGCAGCCGCATACGCAAGCAGAAGAAGCACCGCAAAGAGGGAAGCGGAGTGCGAGGCCGCGGTGCTGCTGTCACCGCCAGTCGTCGTCGCGGTGTCATCTGTGCTGGTAGCGAGGGGCCGCGCTGCAGGTGCTTTGGCCTCGCTCTTTGCAGGTGCGCGAGCGGCATCGGACCCTGCGGCGTCTTCGGCATTCGTCTCATTCGGCTCTCCGGTCTGACCGCCGGCTGCCCCACCGCCACCTGCGGAGGGAACTGGTGGAGTTCCCCCCGCCCGACTTCCAGCAGAAGCGGCAGGACCGCTGGTGACCGCAGAGCCGATGTCGGGGTGGCCACTGCTCTGCGCCGCCGCTGCCCCTTGCGTTTGCCCTTTGCTCTCGGGCGGCTGGGTCCCGGCGATGGTCTCGGCGCCGGCAGAGGGCTGCAAGAGGGCTGTCGTGCCGCTGCCGTGCTCAGTCGCTGCTTGACGTTCTGCAACGCCTCCCGCTTCTTCACTGCTTTTTTCCGCATTCGGTTGCCCCGTGGCACCGTCAACGCCGCCTT